ACAGGTATCCAGATATTCATAAACGTGTTTTAAAAATCTCAAAAATGCCCCCCTCCCCCTCCCTCCTAAAAAGAGACATCAACACAAATAACCAAGAATTTGTTACTTTCACTAGTTTATTTATTAATTATTGAATGTGCAGTTCAAATTTCCAATTGTTTATTCATGTGCAACGATATTCTTTTTCTGACGACTTTGCGCAATGGTGTCAAAAAAAACTAGAAACATCGAGCCTGGAGTAACATCAGGATATTCTCTTTTTTTTTTTCAAAATAGATAGCCCGACGTCACGCTCTAAGAGCCTCTAGTTTATTCAAAATTGCAAAATTCTGGGATTTCAATAAATTTGACCTAAAATGTCATGTAAACAACAAGCAAAGCAACACCGTATCATGTCTGGCTAATTTAACAATTTTTAATGCAATGTTTAAAGAAAAGAAMCTACTTAAAGTATACTTAAGTTTTTTTTTGTGCATGGACTGTCAACTTTATACTAGTCAAAGGAATCTCCAAAAAATAAACATGGTGGGAACATCTATAACATTTGGGCTTCCTGGTGCACAGACTGTAGATAGGAACTTGGTATGATAGGAATGTGAAATGTAAACTTAAATTGTTGGACTGCCTATGGCCAGCCCAACTAATAATATGTTGTTAACAAACTTTGCCCTATCTGCAGTTGATACTTTTATTAGTACCATGATGCCCTTTGCTCACATGACGTGATTAATTAAGCAAAGTGTGTTGTAAAGATTCACAATCAGCAATGAATGATGTTAAAGTTTGAAGATAGTAAGGAGGAAAGTTCCCATGCAAAAGAGAAACGTGTTCAACCATCACTGGAAAAAATCGCGTGCATTAAAGGTTGTAAATGTGATGTAAATATGATGTAAGTGTCCAAAATTCTGTAAATTTAAGGGATACTTTGGATACTTACATCATATTTACATAAAATTTACAACCTTTAAATCGACTTTAAAGCGCGCGATTTTTTCCAGTGCATGGACCATGCAGAAAATCCTAATTCAGAGTCAAAAAGATTTCGTTCTTACCTTTAAACACCTTCTTATAACCTGTAAATAACAAATGTAGAGAATAGAGTTTTGTCTGAGATTATAATGTTTAAATCACAACTGTGGAGATATTTAAGAAAATAGAGAAATGATTTTAAGCCAAGACGAAATTGATTATCATGCATAATAATAATAATAAAAAGATGATTTCCATGCATAATCAAACATTTGGAAAAGTGCAAATCAATAGAAACTTTTATAGAGTCAGTCCTACCAATCAAAATGATCCGAGTTTCATTGGGCTGCCTGTGGTGTCTAGTCATCAAACAATTTGATCGCTTTCGCATGGATACAAAGCGATAAACCGTGATCATTATATTCTATTTCTACCCTATCATTATCACAACTACTTTAAAGTTAAATTCAGGTGGATGGACCTTCATTTGTAATGTGTAGTCTAGTAAAATCTAAATACTGCAAGGGATTCATCCGTGTAGTTTCGA